ACTGCACTAGGAAAAGTCCCACTCAATGCCATATTACACAAGTATTCTGAATTTGATTCCCTGAGGAGTAGAGACAACTCTGTCCCTGACACAAAGAATTTATTTGGAAGGTGATTCCAGGAAACATAGCAGGTAAATGAGGTAAGGAGTGAGAGTTAGTAAAGGGTATATTTGGGAGGGGTTACCAAAGCAGATGATTGTGAACCAGTCCTGGGAACCCACTGAAAGACTGCAGAACACTGGGGTTGGCATTTGGCACAGCAGTTAACATACTCTTTAGGATGCCCATGTCCCCTGTCAAAGGGCTTGTGTTCAAGTTCTGTCCTCACTCCCAATTAGAGCTCCCTGCTAATGTGCAACCTGGGGGGCAGCAGGTGAAGGCTCAAGTAGTTGGGTCCTTGGCACACATGTGGGAGATCTGGATTGAGCTCCAGGATTTGACGTGGTCCAGCCTGAGCTGTTTTGTAGGCATTTGGCAAGTGAACCAGCAGATAGAAGCTCTCTCTGTCTCCATCTCTCTGCCTTTCAAATAAGGAAAAAAAAGACTGCTGAGTGCCCCTCAGAATTTCTTATTGCAACGTCACAAGAGGAGAGACTGAAAGACAATTTATCTACTGACTTCCTACTTCATTGTCCTAGGGTCTGGGGCATGTGCTCCCTCACATTTCTGGCTTGCTCCTCCTATGGAAACCTTCAAGTAGAAAGGGTCTTAGCATAGATTGGCATGAGTGGGTATAGAAGTGACCGCCACGGCTGCTGGTGGTCTCCAGGCTATGCTGGGAGCTATGGCCGTGAACCATTAGCATGTGCTACAGAAGGACAAAAGATGGGATGGCAGGGTCCTCTGCTATTTTCTTTTCCAACTTCACATGGTGGTTTTCAGCCCCAGCCCACTGGTTCCAAGCACAGACTCAGGAGTCGAGCTCTCTGGATTTGAATCCTGACTTTGTGCCTGTTGGCTCTTTGTGATCTTCAGAAAACTGTTGAACCTTTGTAAGTCTATATAATGGTGGTAATAATAGTACCTTCCTTTCAGGATTAGTGTTAAGGACTGGTCAGTGGAAAAGATAGGCCAGTGCCTGGCGTACAGCAAGCACTCAATAAATATTAGCTGTGGTTATTATAGTAGATTGGGAAGATTTGATGATTTGGGGTTTTGGCATTTTAGAAACATTTACTTTAGAAATAGAGATTGATATTCTAGATTGGGTTCTCAGGCATTTTCTCTGCTCTTCTCTGTTCACATTTGAAAGTCACTCTTCTCTCTGCACCTCCCACTACATGTTGTTGGATGTATGTTCTCTACCTGCTCCCTCTAGAATAATTCTTTGCCTCCCATTGCATTGTCTCCATAGTGCTGATTTTTAATGATCTCAGGAAGGAATGTAACATGAAGGAACACTTCAAATTATTTATTAAAGATTGTTGGATATGGATGTATATCTGTGTTAGTGTCATGATGTGCTCCCAAATAAGAGTCTCCCCTTAGCTATGGATGCAAACTCCAAGTCAATTCAATTTTGTTCAAATCAAAATATTTATTGAGCACCTGTTGTTTTCTAGGCTCTGTCCTAGGCACTGGGAACATACCAGAGTGATAAAATGGGGGAAAAAATTCTCTGTAACGTTTTGTTGCCATTCTCCCCTTTAGATGGAAAAATTTTAAAAATTGTAAGGATCCTGCTAAGCACCAAGAGATGAGGGATACTCTCCTCTTGCTTTTCAGTGGTGCTCACTCTGTACAACTCACATGATTAAGTGCCTGGTTAAGGAACTTTGAGTACTTGACAGAATAAATTGGGGCTTTTACAGAACATTGAGTGAAGCCTCAGTTTGAAAACATTTGGCTTGCAGATCAATAACTCATAAGAACAAAATGGCTCTGAAAAAGCTACCACCTGTAATCTGTGAGGGTATTGTGGCCTTGGACGCCTTAATGGCTGTGCAGGAGGTAGGTTGTGTTATTTTGACTGGGAGGACTTAGCAGGATTCTTGAAGTAGCTATGTTGGACCCTCTGGGCTCCTACAACCCATCATGCTCAAATAGGGATCAGGTACCTGTGATGAACAGGTGTATAAGGAGTCTTCAACAACTTCATGGAAAATGTGTATCATGAAAAAACACATGTATTACTTTAAAAGACTTTTTGCACTAAAATACAATGATCTTTTAATTCTATTTTCCATGAACTTGTTGGAGTACTCTTGTAATTGAGATTTTGAAAGACAAGCAATGGGCTGTTGATTTGGTAATACTTTTTTTGTTTGTTTAAGCTTTATTGGGATATAATTGATACACAAAAATTGTACATAGTTTTGATGAGTCTATTCATGATTATATACCTATAATTTGGTAATACATTTTACTTTTGGAACAGATACATGCTGGTTTGTTATAAAATACAAAATTCTTTTTCCAGGATAATATACAAGTATTGTCACAGGATCCAGCTGTTGACGCAGTAAATATTAGTCACCTGTATGTTAAAATATATATCCTCTTTGTCTCTCTAGATGCCTATCTACATATGTGTATATATATACAAATACATCTGTATACATACTTATATATATGAATACCCATATATACATATATACGTATATGAATCCTTATAGAGATACAAACACAAAATTTGTGGTAGCTATTTAGCACAGTGAACTTACTAAACACATAGTGCCTAATGTTTAAGAGCTGCTTATATGATAGTCACTCTGCCTTGTGAAACTGCTGGTATTATTATCCCAGAATTACTGTTAAATTACATTTTTTAAGTTTTTATTTAATGAATGCATTTTTATCAGATACAACTCTAGGAATATAGTGGTTCTTTTCCCCATACTTCCTCCCTCACACCCAACTCCCATCCCATCTCCCTCTCCCTCTCCCATCTCCTTCTTCATTATGGTTCATTTTTAGTGTGACTTTATATACAGAGGACCAACTCCATGCTAAGCATAGACTTCAACAATTTGCACCCACCCACCCACCCACACACACAAAATATAGAGTACAGTTTGGGGAGAAAATTTGCAGTCGATTCTCACATTACAATTCATTAGGGACAAAGGTCCTACATGAGGAGCAAGTGCACAGTGACTACTGTTGTGTTTTAACAATTGACACTCTTATTTATGACGTCAGTGATCACCTGAGGCTCTTGCCATGGGCTGCCAAGGATATGGAAGCCATTTGTGATAAATCACATTTTGTTTGGATTTTGGCTCCCCAGGTAGTCTCTGAGCTTTTCAGGGCCAGACATCACCCCTTAGTGGTAATCTGCAGAGAGCTACCAAGAAGCATCAAAGGAGTGCAGCCGTACAGCTGCCAGTAGGTTACATTCCTCTAAATGCCACAGCCTGTTCAACATTTTAAATGTATGTATTTGACAGAGTTCCCATCCACTGGCTCACCCCCCAAATTCCTCCAACATCCAGGGCTGGGCCAGGTCACTGCCAGGAGCCAAGAACTCAACTGGGTCTCTCATGTGGATGGCAGGAACTCAAGTGCTTGGGCCATTACCTGCTGCTTCCCAGGGTGTGCAATAGCAGGAAGCTGGAATCAAGAGTAGAGCAGGGACTCTCAGATGAGGATGCAGACGTCCTAAGGCGAGGATTAACTCCTGTGCCGAACACCACCTTCCCCCATTTTTGAAGGTAATATGGAGATATTAGAGGGACGCCGATGGAAACACGTTAGAGGAAGTCGGTGGTGCGTCTACAGATCACCTGAGGATTGTGTTACAAGGTAGTGTCTGAATCATTAGGTCCGGGGCAGGGCCTGACAGTCTGCACCGGAGGAATTCCCACGTGATGCTCAGGCTGGTGGCTGTGGGAGCTTTTGTGACTGCAGCGCCAGAGATTAGACCTTTACAAAGGTGCGCAAGGAGACTGGTCACTCCCCGAACTCTGACCACCCGGCAACCCCACTCCAAGCAAGGCACTCCAAGCCTGTTGCAGTGTCTGGCTGGCCTCTGAGTTGTTTGCAGCACCAGCGAGGACCCATTCAGTGCCTTTTCTCCTCCCCACGGGCCCAGCAGTCTGAGCCCGGCACCGGGCTCAGCCTGCAGGTGAGGTGGGCAGTCTCCAAGCGCTGCCGCTGGAACACCGGGCAGACCGGTTCTACCTGTCCTACTCCGGAGGCGGGACCGCGGACCCAGCAGCAGACAATGATCGGAGGCGGCAGGTGCCCTACCCTCCTGCCTCCTACCCGCCTGGTTTTTCCACCTGACACTCCCTAAGCCGTGCAAAGCTGGTCCCCAGCAAAGCAGCTGGTCGGGCACCGTCTCCAGCGACGAGCGTGAAACTGTTCAATCCAAAACACAAACAGCAGCCACTGACATGTTTGAAGAAACGCCACAGTTGGATGGCAGCACAACCAAAACAGAACGAACGCGAGGCAAGGAGGGAACGCACTTGGCCCAGTTGGGTTGGAGCAGCGGCTCATGTTACACTCCCTCCGCCAGTTAGCGTCGTGGGCGTTTGTTGCTGTGTTAATTACAGCTCTTCCCGAAGTCGGAGGCGAGAACAGCCCTGGTGGAACCGTTTCAAGCTCAACGTTCCACCAGGAAGAAAACAACTGCCTTTCTCCTCCCCAGCTGGGCAGGGATCCCGCGGCGCGTACGGGGCGGCCGCCAGCGCCAGTCTGCTCTCGCTTGGGTGCGTGCCCAGAGCACCATGCTGCACCTGCCAGGCCGGTGCCCAGCGCCTGTGCCTCGCCACTGCAGAGTGAGACCCACCCAGCCATCGAGGGCCATGCCCTGTGTCCTGGAGCCCGGCCACAAACTGACCTGCGATTTCTTCCGGCTCCTGGGAGCTCCCACGGTGGTGGCAGGGCACGGGAGAGAGCCTGTGTGGTCTGTGGATGGTCTGGAGAAGGGGCCTGGGTGGTTCAGAAGGAATTAGGGACAAAGTGTATGCAATGGGGTAGGAAGTATGTGGCCTTGCAGACACAGGGCCCTGGCCCCAAGCCCTCTCTCTGCTCCTTATCAACCATGTGACCTTGGGAAGGTATTCTGCTTCTCTGGGCTCTGGTAGTCTCCTGCTTACTTTGCAAGGTCCTGAAGAGCCAGTACACTTAGGTGTCATTCATGATGTTGCCAAACTCTAATAGCTACTTGGTTCTTACAATTTTTTTTTTGGACAGGCAGAGTTAGACAGTGAGAGAGAGAGAGACAGAGAGAAAGGTCTTCCTTCCATTGGTTCACTCCCCAAATGGCCGCTATGGCCAGCGCTCTGTGCTGATCCAAAGCCAGGAGCCAGGTGCTTCCTCCTGGTTTCCCATGCGGGTGCAGGTGCCCAAGCACTTGGGCCATCCTCCACTGCCCTCCTGGGCCACAGCAGAGAGCTGGACTGGAAGAGGCACAACCGGGACAGAATCTGGCGCCCCAACTGGGACTAGAACCTGGGGTGCCGGCTCTGCAGGCAGAGGATTAGCCAAGTGAGCCACGGCGCCAGCCAGTTCTCACAAGTTTTAAGAAGTGATTTTAAACTGCCATATCAGAGATGAGAAAACTGACTACTAAAGACGTTAATGAAGATGGATGAGCTGGTAGAGCCAGGATTGGAAACAAGGTGCTCGAGGCCCCAAGTCCAAGCTCCAACCACAACCCTGATCGCTTAACTTGCATGTAAAGTCTCTGGAAAAGGGCAGGCTGAGGGCTTGCAGTTAAGATGCTTGTGTCCCACATCCAGGTACCTGGGTTCAATACCTGGCTCTGCTCCTGCTCCAGCTTTGCACAACTAATGCACACCCTGGTAGGCAACAGATGATGGCTCAAGTACTCTGATCTCTGGCACTCACGTGAGGGCCCTGACCTGAGTTCCCTCCTCTCGGCTTCAGTCTCCATCAGTGGGCTGTTGAAGTTTTGGGGAATAAATGGTAGGTGGGAGCACTCTCTCTGTCTCTGTCTCTCTGCTGTTTCCGTCTCTGTCTTGTTCTGCCTCTCAAATTCATACATAAATATTTAAAAGAGAAGGGAAATAGCAGGGTGGTAGCTATTGTTGTTTCCATGACTACAGGCACATAAACATTAGCTTGATTGCAGCTAGCATGCAGTGGACTCACTGTGCACTTCTGATTTACCAGCAGGTGGCAGAGTGGTGAGGGCCCAGGGATTACAGAAAATTCCTGAAAGGCAGCTGGACAGGAAATGAGAATCAGAATGAGGATCCCGGCTCCAGCTCCACCAAGGTGTCCACACCACTACCTTGCCAGCTAGGTGTGTCCATAGCCAGATACTGTCAAAGACCCTAGAAAAAAATCAATTAGGCAAAACTCCAGGGCCAGGATGGCTCAGCAAGAAGAGGTGTGCGCCCATGGCTATAAAAGCACTGAACTATTACTTTTCCTACAGCTCCAAAAACTACATTTTTCTACATTGCTATGTAAGCCTCTTAAGGATACAATTCTTAGAATCAAGTCCAAAACTGCAATCCAAAAACCATGGTGTACCATGTATGCAAGCTAACGACCAGCACAGGTGAGGATGATAATGCTTGAGAATAAAGCACTGGGTAATGCTGCTTTTAAAAGATGCACATTTGGGGTGTGACAGTCATCTTTCTGAGAGACTTCTGTCACTAGCATGTCCCTATTCTGTCACTATCATGTCCCATTCTTGGAATGGTGCAGGGACAGGATGGGAAAGGGTCAGCTGAGGAGATGGGCAGTGCTGGGAGTGGTGTACTGTGCCTGGGAAGAATTGTCTTGGAGGTGGAAGGCAGGTATTGGGTTCTTTGGTGAGCAGCCTACTTGTTTTTTACCAGAGCAACACCAGCCATCAGGATTTTTAGGGCTAGTTGGATATCCACACCCTGACTGAGTGTCCTGTTGCTGCTGTAAAGAATTACCACAAATGTAAGAGCCTAAAATAATCAAATGTATCATCCTACACCTCCTTAGGTCAGAAATCTGACACAGGTGTGTCCCCAGGATTGTGTCCGTCACAGAATGGTACACCCTCCTGGTTGCTCTAGGGGCACATCCATTTCCTTGCTAGAGGCTGCCAGTACTCCTTGGCTTGTGGCCTCTCCTCCATCCTGAAAGCCAGCAGTGGCATGTCAAATTTTTCTGTGCTGCATCCCTCCTGATTCCCTCCTCTGCTTCTCTCTCTCACTGTCAGTGATGCTCTTGGTTATATTGTGTCCATCTGATTTTAAAGTCCTCTGATTAGCAACCTTAATTCCATTTACAGCTATAATTCTCCTTTACAATGTAGGGTAATATATTCATGGCTCTAAGAATGAGGGTGTGGGCATCTTTGGGGGCCATTATTCTGTCTGCAACACACCCCTTGGTAACAAGCATGGCCTTAATATACGTATGCTGGGTACTCTGTAAAAGGCACTTATTTTGTGAAAGATACAATTAGCAAGGACTTCTTAGTCAAATGGATCTGTGTCAGGGTTCAAGAGGTGCGTCTGACTAGTTTTATCATTTTGGGCCAATTCCCTAACCTTCTGAATTGTCAATCTCCTCAGCTGTAAAATGAGAATAATAATATACCTCCCTTATTAGATTGTTGTTGGCATTAACTAAGATAATGCTGGAAAGCACTTAGCACACTGCCTGGCAAATAGTAAACACTCACTGAATGTTTCTGGTCATTACTATTATGTGTCATGGGGTTTGCGTGGTACCTGCCCTTGTGGAATTTGGGGGCTAAGGCACCCCAAGCATGTTGTTGTGGAATAAGACAACATCCAGGAAATAGATAGTGAGACATAATTAGAAAGTATCATACTTAAGTGCTAAGTGGGTAAGTGCTGTTGAGAGAAGTAAGATAAGATGTTTTCAACAATCGGGAAAGGTCAGGAATGGAGGAGGCAGCATTGATGACAGGTTGGACTTAGAAGGGGAGAGGAAAAATGCTGGGCACGTGAGCATGTACTCGTCATCCCGCAAAGGGGCAGTAAGTAAGCCATTTGCTTACATCTTATGTGATGGAGGGTTTGTGTTGTGGTGTTCATTCATTCGCTCACTTCCACTTTCCCCCTGGATGTTTAGGGGAAGGGAGGAATGTGGCAGGCCTGGAATGCTAGATTATATAATTAAGCATTTTCCCAGTGATGATGAGGAGACAGGGAAGGTGTTAGAGCAGAGATAGGTTTGTGATGAAAGCAGTGTTGAGAAAGATTAATCAGAGTGGCATGTGTGTATGGAGAGGCTGGTGGCAGGTGATGTAATCGGGATATTTACAGCTGGCTAGAGGAACTGTGACGATAGTCAGTCTGGGAAGCAAGAGCAAAGGGCCTTGGTGATGGGTAAGACTTGGAGGGAGAGGGGAAAAGCTGACACACTGCGAGAACCTGGGAGAGAGATCACAGCTGGGTCCTTAGGCGAGGAAGTCATCAGCGTGGAGGTAGCAGCTACTTCACCGCTGTCCCCAGCCTTTTGTGATTGGCCCATGTCAGTGCCCACACTGCTGGGCTACCAACAGCACCCCTCTTCTCCTCACTCTCTGTGTCCCCTTTCACTCCTTGTTAGGGTGAACTGTGTCCCCTCCACATGCAGATGGTAAACCCTTATCCCCTACTACCTCAGAATGTGGCACTATTTGAAGACAGAGCCTTTAAAGAGGTCAGCATGTTAAATGAGGTTGCCCAGGGGAGCTCTAGTCCAATATTACTGGTGTTATAAGAAGAGGAGATGAGGGTAGAGACAGGCACAGAGGAAAGACCCTGTGAAGACAGGGAGAAGGGGACCACCTGTGAGCCCAGGAGAGAGGCCTTCGAAGAAACCAACCCTGTTGACTCCTTGGTCTTGGACTTCTAGCCTCCAGAATTATCAAAAAGTAAGTTTCTGTTGCTTAAGCCACCTGGTCTATGGCAGTCCTAGGAACCAGGACTCCCCCAGGGACCACAGCCCTTGGAGCACCACCCCATCTGTCCACTGCCTGTGTTTTGCCAGGTCTGTATCTCAGTCCCTCATTACCTGGATGTGTCCTGGGCGGTGATTTGTGGCTCTCAGACCTGTCCCCTATGAACTGAAGAATGAGGTTAGCCTCCTCTGCTGACAGTGCTATGTGTCTCAGGAGACAGCCCATGGAGGAGATTCTGGTGTCCGAGCTGGGATTGTGGGACAGGGAGCTGGTCAAAGAAGCCTTTCTGTGTGCCAGGCGCACAGCTGTCAGGGGACTGTTTTGCCACCTGTTCTTAAGGCTGTTCTGGCAATGGATTCTTGCACGTGCCTTACTCTGAAAGCATACTCTGAACAGAGGGAAATGTGTTCTTCCTCATTACCAAGAGAGAAAAATGAGATTTCATTGCACTTACAAATCAGGATTTTCTTTTGCATTTAATAATGATTCTGAATCTAAGTTGGGCCCTGGTTTTGTTTTGTTTTTGACAGGTAGAGTTATAGACAGTGAGAGAGAGAGATGGAGAGAAAGGTCTTCCTTTCATTGGTTCACTCCCCAAATGGCCGCTATGGCCAGTGCTGTGCTGATCTGAAGCCAGGAGCCAGGTGCCTCCTCCTGATCTCCCATGTGGGTGCAGGGGCCCAAGTACTTGGGCCATACTCCACTGCCCTCCTGGGCCACAGCAGAGAGCTAGACTGGAAGAGGAGCAGCCAGGGCTAGAACCCGGCGCCCATATGGGATGCTGGCACCGCAAGCGGAGGATTAACCAAGTGAGCCACGGCGCGGGCCTGGGCCCTGTTGTTTTAAAAATTATTTTATGTGAAAGTCAGAGAGAGAGAAATATTGATCTTCCTTTTACTGGTTCATTCCCCTAAATGCCTGTAATGGCCTGGGCTGGGTCAGGACAAAGTCAGGAGCCAGAAACTTAATCCAGGTCTCTGAAGTGAGTGGTAGGGACCCATGTACTTGAGCCATCACTTGCTACCTCCCAGAGTGTGCATCAGCAGGAAGATGGAATTGAGAGTGGAGCTCGGACTGGAACAAGGCACTCCAGGATGGAATTCAGGCATCCCAAGCAGTGTTTTAACTGCTGTGCCAAATGCCCACCCCAGACACTGATTTTTTTTCAACTTTTAATTAATATAAATTTCAAAAGTACAACTTTTGAATTATAGTGGCTTTTCCCCCCATCTGCAACCATCCCATCTCCCACTCCCTCTCCCATCCCATTTTCCATCAAGATTCATTTTCAATTATCTTTATATACAGAAGATCAACTTAGTATATACTCAGTAAAGATTTCAACAGACTGTACCCACACAGACACACAAAGTATAGAGTACTGTAGTTTTACCGTTAATTCACATAGTATAACACATTAAGAACAGAGGTCCTACATGGGGAGCAGGTGCACAGTGACTCCCATTGTTGATTTAACAATTGACACTCTCACTTATGATGTCAGTAATCACCTGAGGCTCTTGTCATGAGCTGCCAAGGCTATGGAAGCCTCTTGAGTTCACCAACTCCGATCTTATTTAGACAAGGCCATAGTCAAAGTGGAAGTTCTCTCCTCCCTTCAGAGAAAGGTACCTCCTTCTTTGATGGCCCATTCTTTCCACTGGGATCTCACTCACAGAGATCTTTCATTTAGGTCATTTTTTTTTTTCCACAATGTCTTGGCTTTCCATGCCTGCAAAACTCTCATGGGCTTTTTAGCCAGATCTGAATGCCTTAAGGGATGATTCTGAGGCCAGAGTGCTGTTTAGGGCATTTGCCATTCTATGAGTTTGCTGTGTATCCTGCTTCCCATGTTGGATCGTTCGCTCCTTTTTAATTCTATCAATTATTATTTGCAGACACTGGTCTTATTTACGTAATCCCTTTGACACTTAAATCTATCTTTTTGATCAATTATGAACTTAAACTGATCACTTTAACAAGTAAGATGGCATTAGTACATGCCACTTTGATGGGATTGAATTGGAATCCCCTGGCATGTTTCTAGCTCTACCCATTAGGGGTCAGTCCGAGTGAGCATGCCAGGCACTGATTTTAAGACAAATAATAAAGTACTTTGAGGGTTGAAGCCCAAGTTGGCATCTAAGCAGCTCTCAGAAGAAAAGGGAAGAGGGAGGGAATTGCATAGGTAGAATAGTTGATGCTTAGAATTCCTGTTAGCTTGGCTAGGCAGGTCCCAAGTCCTGTCTTGTAGACTTGTGTGACAGTGACATATTCAGACCAGGACCATGCCCTTGGTGACTTGTGTGTGCCTTAGAGCTGGCCTTTATGATGGGGGGAAGGCAGTTATGATGAGGAAGCCACTGGTAAACTCTTCTGCATCTTCCCAGAGGATGGAATGAGAGCAACCGCTCAAAAGATAGAGACTGCTGGTTAGGATAAGATAGAGCTGGCTCCTTAGGGCCATTTTAAGGTCTGACTAGGTTGTTCTCTCACTCCCTCCTCTGGGCATCTGTGGTACTACCATGAATTTTTGGCTGCTGAGCCATTTGACTGTATTGGATTATTAGGTTACATGCTCCTTCCTACCAGTGGGGATAGAATGGGAACTCCCAAAGAACACTTATCTGTGTCCCAAAGGACACTTATCTGTGCTCTCTGTCTCAGCATCTAGAGGTACTGGGTGAGCACTCAGTGGATGGATGAATGACTAGCTGACTAACTGTTCCTCGAAAACTTTTAATATCCTGAAGACTGTGTGTGTGTGTGTGTGTGTGTGTGTGTGAGAGAGAGAGAGAGAGAGAGAGAGAGAGAGAGTTCATGAATAAATGACTGTCTTGGAAATGACTCTCTGATGCAAGATTTTGTTATTTTAGATTACGAAGAACTGTATAAATAGAATAGATGAATATCTAGCATATGTTGATGATTTAAGACATAATTCTTGGCTGATTGACTAACAAAGGGCTGGGAAACAGGTAGTCGCCAGAAGGAGAGGTGTGGCTTTCCCTGTAGAGATTTTTAAGGAAAGAAACAGTCACACATGTGAGATGGGTGGATGCAGATTTTCTCTAAGACTCAAATGATGATTGGAACCACACACGTGTGCTTGAGTGGACGGCATGGCTGCCACTTACTGATTGCTGCTGTGTGCCAAGCACTTTGTACATGCATGCTCATGCAATTCTCACACACATGCTTCTTGAAATGAGTTTTGCTTTCACCCATCCTACACACGGGGAAACTGAGATGTAGAGACTTTTTTTTCACATAGTCAGCCATATTCATGCTATGTGTTAGATACCATCCTAGGCTCTTAGGACATATATACTCCTTGCCCTTGTGGACCTTACAGTCTAGCAGGAAAGAGACAAAAGACATGAGAGAGATGATTTAGCAGGGCACTGTTGAAGTTTACAGCAACAAGTAGGCCTCTCCCCATTAGGAGCTCACAGGACAGTTAGATGCAAGGAGCAAACAGTCCATTATCATGGGCTTGCTTTTAAGGGAGGCACTGCAGCCACGTGACACTGTGGGGTTGTGAGTGTTCCATGACCTCTGGTTGCTGTAAGAGCACACAGGAGACAGGGAGGCTTCTTGGAGGAGGTAACATCCCCCTTAGATATGAAAGGTGAGTAAAAGTTGGCTGGGTTAAAAAAGAGGTAAGAAGGGGAGGAAGCATTCCAGGGGGAGGGAACAGAAGGTATAATATCTCAGAAGTGAGAACTAGTAAGGCCCCCAAAAGTTAGTTCTGGCTGGGATACGGATTTTGAGTGAGAAATGAGGCCACAGGGGTAAGCAGGGGCCAGATCCTATGGGTCATCAGAGGAAATGCAGACTTGATCTCAAGGCAACCAGGAATGATGAAGGTCATGGGGTCTGAGCAAAGTAGGAACAGGTTAAGTCATGGGGTCTGAGCAAAGTAGGAACAGGTTAAGTGACTTGTCTAAGGTCTCATAACCAGCAAGTGTCACACTGAGGATTTGAACCAAGGTTCCATCTGACTCTAGAGCTCATCCCATGCCACTGGCCCAGGTTGAACTAGAGAAGAAAAGGCAGACTCGCGGTTTTCCTGCCAGTCCCTCCTCACCTTGGGGCTTTCTATTTTCTGTTCCTTGGGCCTGCAGCAGCCCCAGAAGATGTGTCCTTCCACTTCTGCCCAGATGGGAGATGCAGGTACCCAAGAGCAGTTCCATGGCACTGCACCTGCTTCCTGGCCACTGCCCAGGGCGTTCCTGGGTGACATTTCTGCGTACTTTGGGTAAGTGCCGAGAAACCGCCTGGCTGCCCCTGGTGGTGGAAGGATGCTGGATTCACCTGCATCTGGGAGCTTTTATTGCCTTCCTGAAACCATGGAAGCCATGTGTATATGTTTATGCTTTGTTTTACATTGTTATCCCATTTGCCTCCTTGCTGGAGGGCTGCCAGGGCGCCAACGTTTAGCTCAATCTATATGCTATTATCTCATATTTTGCAATCCCAAGATGTTAAGGTGGTTTCACATAAACAAAGCATTTTCCATAATTGCTCAAGAGAAGTTGGAGAAGTACGCTTGTTCTCTCCTTCTTTATATTTTTAGTCTTTGTTCATCTTTTCCTTCTCGTACAGTCAAGGTGCAGTCAGACTGCCCCAATTCAAATCCTGACTCTAATACTTTCTAGCTGGGTGACGTTGGACAAATTCTTGAATAATTTCTGTGCTTTGGTTTCCTTATCTATGAAAAGAAGTGGTGATTATGATAATGGTAATTTCTATCTCGTGGTATGATTTTGAGGATGAGATGAATGAATATCGATAGCATATTTAGGATGATGGCCATGGTAGGTGCTTCATTGATGTCAAGCTACTCTTGTTCATGGGCAGCATCAGTATTTATTTAATGTAAGATTCTAGCTGTCAGCTCCCAGTAGTCTTTTGGAACAGATTCAGAGAGGTTTTGCTGCCCTTTAACCTGACCCTGGCTCCGTGCATAGTCCTTTGCAGCACAGCGAGATGATCAAGAGATGAGACAGGTGCTCCTCAGGGTCCAAGGAAGAAGGTGAAGTTTTCGTGGTGTTCAGAAGCATTTACAGAGGACAGAATAACATCTGCATGTTAGCATGGGTCACATTAATCACCTCCAACCATCTCCCAGGTGACAAATTGCAGGACCACAGATTGTGTTTTCAAGCATAGTTAATGTGGGTGGGCATTTGGAGTGGTGGTGAAGACACTGCTTGGGAGGCCCACACTCCCTCCTGGAGTTCAAGTCCCAGCTCTATTTCTGATTCCAGCTTCTTTCAAAGATGGACTCTTAGAGACAGCAGATGATGGTTTAAATACTTGGGTCCCTCTCACCTATGTAGGCAACCTGGATTGAGGTCCAGTCTTTTGGTCATGACCAAGCCCCATTGTGGGCATTTGAGGAGTGAACCAGCAGATGGAAGAGCTGTCTCTGTCTGTCTCAGTGTCTTTCTCTCTCTCTCTCTGCCTTTCAAACAAATAAGAATACATTAAAAATTCATAGAAAAATGGAATTAAAACAAATTTGAGAAAATAAATGTAGCTGATGTATATATATCATATGAGAAAATTCCAATTTTTAAAAAGATCCATTTATTTATTTTGAAAGTGTTACAGAGGGAGAAGGAGAGCGAGAGCGAGAGAGAGAGATCTTTCATCCGCTGATTCACTCCCTAGATGGCTGCAATGGTCAGTACTGGGTTAAGCCAAAGCCAGGAGCTTCATCTGGATCTCCCACAGGGGTGGCAGGGACCCAAACATTTGGGCCATCCTCTGTTGCTTTCCCAGGCCATTATCAGGGATCTGGATCGGAAGTGGAACAGCTGGGATGTGAACTGGTGCCCATGTGGGATGCTGACATTGCAGGCAGTAGCCTTACTTGCTATGCCATAACACCAGCCCCTCTAGTTTTTTCTGAATCACAGGGAAAGCACCTCTGATGAGTGTTTGCACTGATGTGTCTGGCTTTCTTTGAAAAACCAGGTTAATAGCTATTATTTTGAAGTGTTTTCTTTCCATGGTCAGTTCACACTGGGTATGAACTGCTCTGGGTATGCAGGTGATTTTTATTTGCTTCTGAAACAACTTTATGCAGAAGGTGCATGCCCAAGTGCAAGGAAAAGCTGCTTTGTGATTCTTCTAGACAGAGGCTGTGGCAAGCAAGGTCTCAGCCGCCTGTACTGCCTGGGAATGTGCAGGTGACTACTGAGACAGCAGTGGAGGGACAAGAACGGGCATATGGTCTTCATTGGCACAGTAGAACAAAGTAATTAAAAATGTCTTAAAATGCAGAAAGCCCCCAAAACTGTAAAGTATATCATGGTAGATGTCAAATTAGCATTTTCTGCCTCTTTTTAACAATGCCATAATCTCATTAATCTACAGAAAGAACTAAATGCATGGACTTCAACCAGTTGGCTGGACATATGTTACACATTGGACTGGCCATTTGGCTGGATCAGATTAAAGTGGAGAAATTGCTTTTTTTTTTTTGGGCTCTGAACATAAATCTGGGCCTGCCTATTACTTTTTGCACTCTTTTTAAAGTGATAGATTTGTAAGTGCCAAAAATTCAGTACCAACTTGAAGGGTTTCTTTTTCTTTTTTTCTTTTCTTTCTTTCTTTCTTTCTTTTTTTTTTTTTTTTTTTTTTTTTTTTTTTTAGAAGTGTAAAGAAACTGCATGGAGGAAAGGGACAAAGGATTGGATATGGAGACTTGGAGACTGGACGTAGCCTGGCCTCTGGTTGTTGGGGTAGATTAAACAGCAGTATTTACATTCATACTGTTAACCATTTGAAATGTTATAGTGCAGGATGTAGTTCCCCTTTGGGCAAGGTGACTCAGTTCATTCAATCTTTTTTACAAAATTTATTTATTTATTCATTTGAAAGCCACAGTTAGAGAAGAGAGGAAGGAGAGAGAAAGAGAGAGAGAGAGGAGAAAGAGAGAGAGAGATAACTTACATTCCATGGTTCACCCTCCAAATGGCCACAATGGACAGGGCTGGGCCAGGTCAAAGCTAGGAGCTAAGAATTTCATCCTGGTCTCCTACATCAATGCAGGAGCCCAACTACTTAGGCTATTTACTGCTTTTCCAAGTGCATTAGCAGGGAGCTGGATCAGAAGTAGTACAACCAGGACTTGTATTGGTACCCATATAGGATGCCAGTGTCTTAGGTGGTGGCTTAACCTGCAGCACCATTATGCCAGCCACCAATATTTTATTTAGAATGGTATCATATACTATTAACATGTTTGGCACTGTGTTTTGTCTTAAAATTCATTGTTAATTAATATTCCAATTTAAGAATCTTCCAAATTTTCTTGAAAGCAAAATAAATATATCTTATCTGCCTGCATGGATACACCCACAATTATTTCCTGCATATTTGGTACATGCCCAGGGCATTGTTCAAAGTTTTTTTTTTTTTTTTTTTTTTGACAGGCAGAGTGGACAGTGAGAGAGAGACAGAGAGAAAGGTCTTCCTTTGCCGTTGGTTCACCCTCCAATGGCCGCCACGGCTGGCGCGCTGCGGCCAGTGCACCGCGCTGATCTGAAGGCAGGAGCCAGGTGCTTCTCCCGGTCTCCCATGCGGGTGCAGGGCCCAAGCACTTGGGCCATCCTCCACTGCACTCCCAGGCCATAGCAGAGAGCTGGCCTGGAAGAGGGGCAACCGGGACAGAATCCGGCACCCCGACCGGGACTAGAACCCGGTGTGCCGGCACCTTTAGGTGGAGGATTAGCCTATTCAGCCGCGGCGCCGGCCAAAGATGACTTTTCAAAAGCTAAGTCTTTCAATCCTTGTGATCAAGGCACGGGATAGGTGTGGGCAAGGCAGGCCCCAGGGCTCCTGTCCTGTTTCCAGCTGCCCAACAGGGCACCCCAGAGGTTAGCACACCAGGACAGTCCACCACCATGACAAGCCTTTGTGTTTTCACAAGAACTTGGCACTGTTTCCATCCGTTTTGCAAGAGTTTCTTTCAAGATGGTGGATGGGCTGGGGAAGGTGTTCAGAAGGTTTTTAAGGTCTGTAGCTCCAGTAGCTTGGCAGTATCTCAAAGGAATTTTAAAATGCGTACCCAAGGTGGTAGAGGAAAATAGTTTCATTGTACACAGAGTGCTTTTGACCTGTCTCTTAAATCCAGAGTTCAGATACGAGTGAGTTGGCCTCAGCTTCAGGAAAGATAGGAGTCACTTAATTTCATTAATCCCTCTTTTTGTGCCAGTAGCATTTTCAGAAACGGAAATGAGACCTCTGAGACTCTTGGCACAGAAATGGTAAATTAGGAATCTATCCATGAGGACCCTTCTGCTTTTCATTACATGACAGTCTCCGGGGATTTCAGTGGCTGGAGTAATAAACCCACCGCCTAGACCAGCTAAATATGTAGGCTGTTGGCCACCATGGTTACAACCATAGTAAGGTTCTAGTGGTACATGCAAACATTCAGAAATGATTCTTATGGAAGAAATATTTGCTAGCACCCCCCTCATATTAAGACTATGAGCTAGGCAATTTGAGTTAAAACGTTTTTGCTTAACTCACAGGAAGGTGTCAGCATGAACACTTGGGGGTTTTCTTAGGACTGGGGAGGGGGCTGCTGAGAGATAAGAGCCCCTTCTCCTAGGCCATGGGACCTTCTGGGATAACTTGGACATTGTGTTCCGTGACTCACGACCAGATTCTGTGCTGCAAGTATCCACCAGAGTCTCAGTCGTGTAGATCTTTTAGGGGTTCCCCCAGGAATCCCCTGAAACTTCTGGACAAAAATAGTTCCTTGGGGGTAAGAGAGTGACAGTGCCACCCAGGGGGTGGGGGCAGCTTGTTTCCGCCAAGGGGCATGTGGACATTTATAACATCATTCAAGGGCCATGCAAAGTGATCAGCTTAAAAATTATCCTGCTATGGATTTATTGAATATCAAGTTCTACCTGCAGTTGGCTTGGCAATGATTTTGTGGGCCTTCTACGGCCTGCGGATCTGACATCCCGCACCCCTGCTGTAGGCGCCTTGCAAGTGAACTTCACCCTCCCCGTGCCACACAGTCCTGTCTTGCAGGGAGGAATCTCCACTAGCTATTGGATAGCGAAGGGGTGTGTGTGTGTGTCTAGCATATTTCCATGAGATATGACACACTCCCATTTCATGTTTTGTGAGTTTAACAGATTACACTAAACATCGGAGATGTAGCTTTTTGATGTTGTGGCTGTCTTCTTTAAAGTTCCTGCCTCCTTCCTGTGACAGGACTATGATTTA